CACCCCCGCAAGGAGTGAGCCTGGCGGGGCGGTAAGAGGAGCAGCTCAAGTGTACACCCCACTGATAACCTGGGTTCGCTTCCCGGCTGCACCTTTCGTGGGTGTGTTTATTCACGGAGTGCGTCCACGCACATGCACTTACACACTCTCTCCGGCAGACTTAGCCTTGGCGGGGCGGAGTGGGGGGCTCCGAAGTGCCTGCCTCTCTTTCCCTGGTCAACCTCTCCCTAGAGGGAGGCGAGTGGCATTTCAGTTCCTTTTACTCCACTCAAGAACCCTGGGTGGCACATTGTATCAAGTGCCCAGGAGGTGTGCTTGCTAAAGCTCCCTGGACCCCCTGTGGGGCAGTTCTACAATGTCCAGACTAAGGTCACTGAGTCAGACGGAACCTGCTAAGGCAGTGGGTTCACTTTGATGATTTTGGTTACTCAAACAGTGGCCTTGACCAAGCTTTCATTCGGGCACGCCCTTAGCTTTGACCCCCTTCCCCCTCCTCTCTTGGTGCCTGGTGTGGTCATCTGAATGAATGACTAGATGGACCCTTCTCCCTTGGCTCCCACTTGGAACCTCAGGGAATTTCAGACACTATCAACGAATCTGGCCGTGAAATCGAGTGACTCAGGATGTAAAGCCACCGGCTAGAGAGGCAGGTGGGGCCAGCAGAGGTCAACGGGGTCAGTCCCTTCCCTGGGCTTGGCTTGGGTGTAGACTTGGATTGTTGAGAACCTCATGTGAGCCTGGCAATGGGGAGGTGACCGCTGCTTGCCCTGTTGTAAACTCGGTGACCCCACAGGGCTTTACCCACACAATGGTGGGGAGGGTCAGATGTGATAAGGGCCGTGGGAAACCGCCTTACAGTTAGCACCGTTCTTTTCTGGTCTCTGGCTCATCTTTTCCAAACAGGGGGATGGAAAACCTTGAGCTCTAGGCTCAGTCACAGCTTCAGATGCCCACTCTGGAACCCAAACAAGGTGCTGCATAGCTAAATACCTCCATCTCCTGTGGGACCCGTGTGAGCTCCCCAAGTGCATACCATGACCTCATGCTTGTAAGTGCCTGACTCAGCGCCTGGCAGACACTGAGCCCCTGGACACACTGTGAACCCCCTCCTACAGGCAGCCATCTACAGGCAGCCTACGACTGTTTCCCTGAAAGTAAGACATCCCCCGAAAATAAGACCTACTTATAGTTTTGCCTCTTGCTGAAATATAAAGCATCCCCAGAAAATAAGACCTCCCTGAACATAAGGCCTGCCCAATAATAAGACCCCCTGAAGCTACTGTAACTCTGGACTCTGGACCATAGCGGCAGGCGCAACTGCGCAGCTCACTGTTGGCCGCAGCGCAGCCGAAGCAGCCAGGAAGTGCGAGTAAATGTACCAGAGATTGTGAGTAAATGTACCATAGATTGTTGTACGTGGAAACAATGGTAGTAACAAGAAATTCTTGATACTGTAGGATTCACAGTTTGTCTGGTTATGCTGGTTTGTGATGACAACTACTACCGTACCGTATACAGATAATAAATTTCCTTTTTTCTGTTCAACAATAAATGTGTACCGTATTCTTCTTCATGGAAAAATAAGATATCCCCTGAAAATAAGACCTAGCGCATCTTTGGGAGCAAAAATTAATATAAGACACTGTCTTATTTTCGGGGAAACAGGGTAGGTGCTCAGGTGAGCGAAACCCGGAGGACACTATTTCTAATGGGCTACTTGAACTAGTTGTTTCACCTTGAGATTTGCTATTAACCCATCAGCAACGTTGGCATGCGGCAGTAGCTCCCTCCCTCCAACCTGCTTGGGTGGGTTTTCTTCATGCAGGTTCTGGCTAAGGGCCTCTGCTTACTATCCTCCCTGCCTGGTGCATCTTTCCCCCATGCCTTCCTCTGTCTCTCTGGAGGTCTCTCCAGTCGTAGTCTGATGTCAGTGTTTGTTCTCTGCCCAGCACCCACCCTGCTGATGCTATTTCTTTCCTCTGTCCTTGTTTGTTTGTTTAGATTTTCATTCTGGCTCTCCTTCGAAAGTGGGCCCCTTACCCCAGCACGTGTTGTCTGGCTCACTCCTTGCTGCATTCCTGGGTCATCACCCCGGCCTGGCACACATTGGGTGCCCCATAGCTATCTAAGGAATGAGCAAAGGAAGGAATACCACAGCCATCCATGGAGTGATTCCAGTCCCATGTGGGCCTGCAGGACACCAAATGAATCAGACCGGGAACCTTGCATTCAGAGAGTTTATGCATTAGTCAGAGAGCCTGACAAACAGCCTGAGAATCACAAAAGTTCACGTGAAGTGCTATAAATAGACACATGGGTAGGATGCCAAGAAGTTGTCAGGAATTCACCTGGGGTGAGATCAGTCAAGGGAGGCTTCTCAGAGGAGGTGACTCTAAGAGTGGCCTTGCAAGGGCCAGGAGGAGCTCCATAGACAGAGCATCAAACGAGAGCACAGCTAGGAAGAGCAGCCGAGCATGCCCGGGGCTACACGTGACTGAAGTCAAGGCACTGTGAGAACCAGGCTGGAGAGTGAGCCCAGGTTGGGGAGTTTGAGTGGTGCCCCCTGGGAAAAGCCAAGGATCTTTTTCGCCAGTTCCAGCAACATCTGGGGACCTCCTCTGCTTCTCGGTAGCCGAGAGGCTCCGGGGAAACCTCAGAACCAGAAGAGGTATTTGTTTGCTAGGGACCACTGCAGGCCTCTTACCCCAATTCCTAGAAGAAACATTCCAAAGGAGCCTCTCAAAGGGAAGAAATTCAGGCTCACAATGAGAAGGGGTCTGAATCCCACCTCGTGATCAATCATTTCCCCGTGGCCTCGGCATCAGCCCAGGCCTAGGCCGGGCCGGAGTTCTGGGCTGAGGGCAAGTCAAGGTTTAGCCTGGAAGAGCTCAGAGGCCAGTGGGAGCCTCTTCCTCTAAGAGCAGGGTCTAAAATTGCAGAGCAAGGAAGAGAAAGTCACATGGGAAGAAAATGCCAGGGAGGGCAGAGGTTCCCCTGCTTGAAGTAAACTGTTGCCATGGAGATAGTCTCACCCACTATAGACCCATTAACAGCAGAGATGTTGCTGGGTCCTGATGCCATCTGCATAGTGGCTGATGTGCCTACGCCCATGGTGGCAGCCGCTGTGTGTCTTCCAACCGAAGGGCTCATCTGCCAGCGTCGAGTTGGAGAATATTCTGTTAGCGTGGGATTTTCACTGGATAATGTTTGGAAGCAAATCGCCAGCCCTTTCTTCCTAGCCCATGGCAGTTTGGAAGTTCTGCGGAAGCATGTCCATCATGGGTGATCTCGCTGGTATTTGAGATCCCATGGCACCGTTTTCAGCATCACAGCAACACTACAAACCACCACAGGGTGACCAACTGGCAAGTTTGCTGGTAGATTGCAATTGTGGCCCTCCTTTAACCTCTAAGGTTGGATGCAGAGAAGTTAAGGGACTCCGTCCAAGCGAAATCGCTGCACTGTCAAAACAATCAGCGTCAGGTGCCTCCGCGGGCCTCCTCTTGACTCATCAACTTGTCAGCTGCATGTGCAGAGTGGCTTCGTTTGGGTCACCACGGGCCCTCCCGCCATCCATGGCACTCCGTAGATGCCAGTGGAAAGGGAGAAGGCTCCCAACACCCCAGTACAGTCCAAACAAGTATCATCCATCTCCAGCCGTTCTGTCTTGGGAGAGAAGACAGAAAGCTTGGCAGGGAGTTGAGGGTCTCAGGGGCCACCTCATCTTTCCAAGCGTAGGGCCAGCACCACCTCCAAAAGCCCTCTCTGCAATTCAAGGTGTGACAACCGCTGCCTCCTCCCTCCTCTCTGGAAGGCCCGGACCTAGGGCCTCAAACAGAGCAGAAGAGAGCACTGTAGGGAGGTGGGGGAGGAGGGGCCCTCTGCGCCTATCTCCATAGGGACTGCTAAGCCCCTTTGGGGTGGAATCCTGACTTCATTATCATTATGGATTGAATTGTGTCTCCCTACAATATATGTTGTCTAGCCTAACCCCTCAGCCGGTGGTTAGAATCCCATTTGGGGATAGGTTATGTTAATGAGGCATCCTTAGCATAGGTTGTATTTTGAGTCTATCTCGTCTGAGATTAAACAAGAGAACAAGAGCAGAGATAGATCAAGATAGAGGCCAAAACACACGGAGTTCTCCAAAGGACCAGAAAGCAGAGGCCGAACAGACCAAGACCAAGACCTT